TACTATCGGGTATTCCGGGTGAAAAAGATGCAGAAGATCATCATGGTGGCAGGTGTCTTCATCGGATGCTGGGCACTATCACAACTCCTCATCGTCATCTTCACCTGCAACCCCGTCAGCAAGTTCTGGGACTCCTCAGTTTCCGGCACCTGCATACCCAACCTCCCATTCTGGTATATCAACGCTGCTGGAAATATTGTCACAGATGTGACGATCTTCATTCTGCCGCTTCCTGTGTTGCGGCATCTGAACCTTCAACGCCAGCAGAAGATCCTACTCATCGGCATCTTCAGCATTGGCTTCTTTGTAAGTTGCCGCGAGACCACAGTACAGGAAAATTACAGGAAATGGAAAGCTAACACAGTGCCCTAATCCACCAGACATGCGCCATCTCTATCATCCGAATCCATTACCTCCACCTGTCGGAAGATACCACCTGGGACAACGTCGACTCATCCTTCTGGTCCATCACCGAGCTCTGCAGTGCCATTCTTTGCGTCTGTTTGCCGGTTCTGAGACCTCTGGTGTCCAGACTCTTTCCGCATCTGGGGTGGTCACATCACAGAAGGAGCTCCAAGAGCTACCACCAGGATTCCTCGGGCCATGACGGCACAAACGCTTATAAGACAGCTACAGGAACCGTCGCGGATAATCGTAAGCCGTCCAATGTTGATTCTGAGCGTACCTTTGTCAACACTTCAAACGTTCTGCATACCGAAGACCTCGAGCTGCAACGCATCAACAGCGATGGTGATTTCTCGGACGGCGTCTTGGGCTTGGAGGACTTGAAGATGAAACAAGATCTTGAGTCCAACAGACCAAGCGCTGACAGCGCCCGCGGGAGCAGCAGGGGACCTAAGCTTGCACCGCCTATCCCGGCGGCAGACAAGGGCGCTCGGGTGCTTGGATTGCAACCTACGGTCAGGACGGAGATCAAAGCGAGCACCCATGAGCCGCCCGAGACGGCTTCAAGGGTACCTGATCATGGAATTGCCGTGCACAGGGATGTTCTCATACGAGCAGTAAGTGATTGATGAGTTCGAAGGGCGGTCGGTGTTACTTGGTGATGAGAATCATGAGATATGGGCCATATGGCAGAGAAGCGAGTGTATTCCCAGTTCGAGATACCCAGGTTTAAATGAATGAATATCTTGATACGTGCCATTCTTGCGATGTACAGTATGCTACAATCCAAAAGTTATAAGCTGCGGTGAAAGATTGCACAGAGGCTTGGAGCAATGCTGCAATGTCATCAAGCAAGGAAGGTGGTTAGGTATGCTGATTAGATACCTTACTAAGCAGCTTTTTCGGGTCATATGCAGCGACCAAGTCCAATTTACAGGCAGCTTTTACGTACATTTAACGCTCCTGCGTTATCGCTCAGCCGAAACATTGGACTCGGTCGTAAGCCTGTATCATTACCCCCTACTCAATCAGACCACAACCTTCAAGCCCAAGTCTGTGTAAAGCTTGCACTGCTTGCTTCTCATTTCATAGCTGCATCTCATCTCTGAACATGACTGATGCACCGTGGTCCATGTGGGTGGCGGGAGAGCAGCGGGCAGGCAAGGATACTACAAATGATATGTGAGCAGTCCCTTTGACCCCCGAGATAGTCATTCAAATCAATCCCCTTTGTCTAAAGATGCATGCTAATCCAGCCGTAACAAAGAATACCTGTAGAAAATCCAGCAACCGGCGAGATATTTGCGTAGTAAGTACACACTCTCCCTAAACATTGACATACCTGAGCGAGAGCTAACCACGTCCCAAGCTGCTACGCCGCCTCAGCCCAAGATGTAGACGAGACAGTCCAGCTGGCCCACGCGGCCTTCAAGAGCGGCGTCTGGTCCAAAGCATCCCGCCACCACCGCGCCAACACCCTCGATAAGATCGCCTCCCTCCTGACCGACGCCCTACCGAACCTCATCCCCCTGGAGGTCCGCCAGACGGGGCGCGCGACCCGCGAGATGGCCGCCCAGGTGCCGTCGCTGGTCCGGTGGTTCAAGTACTACGCCGCCCTGCTGCGGACCGAGGAGCGTTCCGTCCTGCCGACCGTGGGCAAGCTGCACAACTGGACTGACCGCGTCCCGCTCGGCGTCGTCGTGCAGATCACGCCCTTCAACCATCCGCTGCTCATCGCCGTCAAGAAACTGGCGCCCGCCCTGGCAGCGGGGAATAGTGTTATCTTGAAGCCTAGCGAGCTCACGCCCCTGACGTCGCTGATGCTCGGCAAGATCCTTAAGGAGGCCGGCATCCCCGACGGCGTGTTCTCTGTACTGCCTGGATACGGAGCCGTGACAGGCAAGGCGCTCGTCGAGCATGAGCTGGTGAAGAAGGTGGATGTGACGGGAGGCACGGCCGCCGGACGAGAGATCGGGTCGATCGTCGGTCGAAACTTGACGCGGTATACCGCTGAGCTGGGCGGCAAGGCGCCAGTGATCATCTTCGAACAGGCCGATCTCGAAGCTGCAGTCAACGGTGTTGCATTTGGGGCCTTTATCGCGAGCGGGCAGACCTGCGTGGCCGCCACTCGGCTCATCGTGCACAAAGCTCTGTTCGAAGAAGCGACGGAGAAACTGAAGGCCAAGGCAGAGTCTATCACGCGCAGGATGGGATCTCCCAGCAACCCAGACTCGATGATGGGTCCGCTAATATCAGCCCGGCAACTCGGAAATGTTGAGACACTGGTCGAGGAAGCCATCGCAAGTGGCAACGGGAGCCTTCTCTGTGGTGGCCAACGAATGAAGGGCGTGAGTTCCCTTGACGGAACGGATTTTTCGAAAGGCTACTTCTATCCGCCTACTGTTCTTTCCGGAAGGACGCTCCATGCCATACTGAAGACACGCATCTGGCGTGAAGAGGCGTTCGGACCGGTGATTGTGGTTGCCGAGTTCGAGGATGAAGAGCAGGCAATCCAGCTGGCGAACGACAGCGAGTTTGGTCTAGGAGCTGCCATCTGGACGCGCGACCTAGCCCAAGCATTCCGCGTCTCCGAGCATATTGAGGCCGGCATTGTGTGGGTCAACACCCATCATCGCAATGACCCGAGCAGCCCATGGGGTGGCGGGAAGACGGCCAGCGGTGTGGGAAGTGAGAACGGTATTGAAGCTTACAACGCGTACACCATGACCAAGAGCACGATAATCAATTACGCGAGCGGCGATGAGGCTGTTAAAACTGAAGATTGGTTCCGCGAAGGTGCTGAGCAAGTCAGATACGGATAGTGCCCCTACTTGAATTAGACAGAATTCCTCCCCTGCTTGCCCTCAGATGACTGTGACTCTGGTGCCCTCGTACGCGCGTTGATACACGCGTTGTTGCTCCTCGTCCCCTGTTCTATCGTACAAATAGGTAAAACCTCCCATCGCCGGCTTCGTAGCTGCCCAGATAGACGTCGGCCATCGTCTCCTCAACCAACTCGAGGTCTGAAAACCAACTTGAAGTCTGGCTGCAGTGTCTCAGCATCATCCTCGACTCCCTCCATCGCCTCGCCGTGCTGGTTGTCGTTGTCATGCTCCTTCTCCTCAACATCCTCCAGCTCCTCTTCGCCCTCGAGCCCGCCGTCCTCCTCCAGCTCCTCTTCAGTACCTGTGTCGCCATTGATGTCGACCTCCTCATCAATATCCATCGTCTCCCCATCAACATCCATCTTCTCCTCACCCGCCTTATAGTGCAGGATCCAGCCCGCGTCTTTCTGCCGCTCGAAGTATGCGTCTCTGGTCTCGGCATAGGGCTCGTGGGCGAATTCGTTCTGCAACGTATCCACGGCGCGCACTAGGTTGCCCTCCGCCAAAGGTCGGTTCATGCCGGGGCCGTCGACACTGGCGTTTCTCGCGTCGATCGCGTATGCCACGAAGGCATGGAGAAGTTGCGGAGTCATGCGGTGATGGTTGACGAACGAATCGGTGCCCTGGAACGACTCCTTCACTTTAGTCCAGAATTGGATGGGATCCGTATCAATCACTGAGTCTTCCATCTCAGTTCCGCGCAGAATGACTTCTGCCATGGCGTCGTCAAACTTGGTGCGAATGGTGTTGATGCCGGCATAGGTCTCCTTGAAAGCGACCACGATGCCCCAGGAGAATTCCTGTCGGAGGTCAGGAGTACAATGGAGACCGTCAACGAGCATCCAGTCAAAACCAACCCGTGGGAGCAGTGAGTACAGCCGAAGATTGTGTGGCTTTTCACGTCTCTCGCGGGGATCCGGGTAGCCGAGTGCCTTCTGGCGGGCCTTGGATTTGGCCTTGCTGCGTGCCATTCTGATTTTGCGACACAAATCAAACTGGGTGGAAATGGATAAAGTGTAATTGTCGCAATGGCGACGTGGCAGTTGTGATACGCAAAGCGAGTGGGCGATGTAGTGACGAGCCGGTGAAGTGGTGACCGCGAAATGTGTTGTTCGAAATCAAGACGCGACCACTGCTATCATCTTCGTGATGATTGTCAGTATATAAGAGAGATCGTCTTACGAGGATAATGAGGGAACTGAGGTACCTATGATGAGACTGAGAAAATGATGAGATTGAGTTGACTGTTGATGTGGTGATGATCGAAGTGATTGATGATCAATCGAGGCGATGGTAGTCAAAATGACCGTGACCCTGACGGACCTTCAAGGTAATAATAACAGGTGAAATGAGAGGAAGCTAAGTAATGACAGTAATAACGGTAAAGACTCAATTAAGGATACAGACGATCTTTCTCAAGTTTTATTCGCAAAGAGGATACAAAATATCCTAAAACAGAAACGCTAAGTTAGATTCACTCAAGCAAGTAAGTTGAACTCGAGACACTCTAACTAAAATGTACTTGTACCTTGAGTTGCAAAAAGAAACCCTCAAGGTGACTCATCTCCTCGAAACTAGACGATATTCATTCGGTTGATCACCATAGTCTCATATAGATACTAGGTGGATAGTTATGCAAGCCATAGCGCAGCAGGAGACGGAAATGACCTGTGCTTCACCTTGAGAAGGTTCGCGGAAAGTCAGAAGAAGCCCTCCGGGTGGGGATCGAACCCACGTCTCTTGCAGCACAGTGAAAGTGTTTAGCAAGGTTCTTCCCATTGAGCTACCAACAGGGACTCTTCTAGCTTCCGATATGTTTGAGAGGTCAATATTTTGCCTTATAGGGCCACCCGCGAACAAAGAAGCCTTCCCCCGGTGACCACCAGTATCACCACCCAGCCCATAAGCCATCCACGCCGGTCTGTGCCATTGCCGACACGCAGCTCCAGCAAGCCATGACTCCACTGCCGTATAATAAGTAACAAGCACCAGGCACCTGTAGTCCTTGATCACAATCTTCTGTGGGAGAAAGACAACATAAGACACAGTGGGAGACCACACACATGCCACCTTGAATCATCGAAACATAGCTGAACCCGCAAATGACTCTCCCGCAACCCGAGTACGGCTCACTTAAGGTACGCTCAAAGACTACACCAGGAAGATGTAACGCCAGCCTAACAACATGGAACCAAGGATCTATCACTCTGCCATTGTTCACCCACAAAGGCACCGTAAACAAGGTACTGACGACTGACGGTGACAGCCATGTCGCGCCGTCTGCTTCCCCAAACCGCAAGCACGATGCGGACATGGTAACGTGTATACGTAGAGTATCAACCCGATTGTCATTACACAGAAATACAAGAAGACAATGATCTTGGAAACGGGCGAGAGATCGTGGAGGAGAGGTCGTCAAAGGCGGAGCCCAATACCAGGTTTCCATCTGTCCAGCGACACATGACGACGCAAATCAGACGCGACAGCTCAGATACTAGCAGCTTTAGCAATCGAAAATTGACAGAAGATGAATATGACGAGTACTTCGTATGGTATCGGACTACATGTAGGATAAGAGAAAGGATACCTTAGCTATGTCGTCGGCCATCCTGGCCATGTCGCTGAAAAAGGGCTTCGGGTCTGCGGGGAGGAGGCCGGGGTTAGCGCTGAGCGGCTGAGGTGTGGGCAGCAGGGCAGGCACGGGCCAAGGGTCGGATTACCACACGCCTAGCAGGGGCAGGGGGTGGCACACAGTGGGCCATGGCGTCACAAGGTTTTGCTCCATTCGACAGCAGGCAGGAGCATAACGGAGCACATTGCACATGCCAGCATCCCGTGAACGCAGATGTCAACTTCACCCTGATTCCGGGCAGCCATCAACTCTGCCATCAGAGAGAGAGTCAGCTCCGATGCTATGCAACCTACCTACCTAGGTACCTTATCCTACCTACCATCTTAATCCCAATATCCCAGCTAAGAAGCTCCATGACACTGAAGACAGACACCATCGACCGTCCATGCAAGCTCTCTCCGGCGCAGTACCTTTTCTAGACTCCACTACAGCACCTTACGCTACCTAGGTAGTCCACCTACTAGGACGCCAGAAGCCTCTGCTCGTCAGTCCAGTCAAATACAACCATGACTTCAAAATCATCATTTCTCCCCCGCCTCTCTCTGTCTCGCGGCGATGCACCAGTCCTGCCGTTCCACAACCCGTCCAGTCCTCCTCTGCGTCAAAAACCGAGCGAATACGACTTGTCCGAGCTGTCTCCCCGACCAGACGATGCCCTCCTACCCTCCAGCCCGTCGCAGAGCTACCGTCGAAGCTCCTCCCCGTCGGCTAGATACAGCGACCACGCGAGTTCGGCCGGTTCCGAGTCCAAACCCAAGTCTCGAATACTCTTCGCCGGCCCGCCACCTCCGATAGCCACGTCCGCTCTTTTATACCGAGACGAAGAAGACACGGCGTCCTCTCGCCATGTGTCCCACCGCCCTCACCATGGCACCACCGCATCCTTCGCCCGCAACGCTCTGACGAGCGTCGGCAGCGTACTCTTCGAGCGAGCCTCCTCGGCAGCGTCATCTTCACACACAAGTCGTGCTGTGGACCGTCAGAGTTACGAACCGGATACTGTGTGGCGCAACCTTCAGCAGCGAGAGAGGGCGCTCCAGAAAGAACTACAACACCTTCTCGATGTCCAATCCGCTGGGCTATCTGCCAGTCTAGACCCGACAATGAGAACAACACCCGGCGCCTCCAATCCGCTACCCGGCAGCCGCTCTGATGTCAGCGACGCCGGGACCGCGACGCCAACAGGCGGCGGCGCGTCGCTCTCTTCTACCAGCAGCCGGCAGATTCGTGGCCGACATATAATCTTCGATGACGCACAGGGAGCGGAATACGAGCAGATTGTCGTGCCGGTGCGGCAGCCGCAGCGGAGGCCCATGGGGCTCGTCACTGCCAGGACGGCTTTGGCGCGGAACATGAGCGTGCTGGCGGATCTAAAGTCCGAGGAGGAGGCCGTCTTGACTGCCGCCATAGCGGCGAGGAAGAAGGCGCTCGCACAGCTTAAGCGGCTGGCTGGACGGAGGGCGGGCATTGTGAGTGAGCTGAAGGCCTTGGAAAGCGATGGTCAGGAGCCACTTGGTCAGGAGCTGATGGAACTGGGGCGGGAGAGGAGCGCGGTGTCCCGTGAGATCGTCGAACTGGAGGAGCGTCTTCTTGGCCTTCGAAGCAGACAGAGGTGGTTAGATGCGCGGATTGAAGACGTGAATAATCGGAGAGAGGCGGGACTGAGTGGTTACAGGAATGCGTTGAAGGAGGTCGATGCTAATGTCTCGACTCTGCTGAAGCGGCCGCCGGTGAAGCCATTGGATCTAGAGGCAGTAAGGCCGCCGAAGCGAGACGAGGAGGGCAACGAAATCGCAGGGGCAATGGGGCAGTCGCCCGGGGGAGTGGAGTTTCTGCGCCTACGCCCTGAGCGCAGGACTATCAACATGGCAAGAGACTGGTGGGAAGGCGAAATAAGGATCCTGGAGGACCGCAAAGGTGACGTGGATAAGGACCGAACCGCACTGGAAGGAGGGGTACGGGTGTGGCAAGAGGCTATTAAGCTCGTGTCGGATTTCGAGGCCAGGCTAGGCAACGTGATGAAGGGCACATTCCATGATGAGGGAAAGGGCAAGAATAAGGAGCCAACGCCGGAGGAAGCCATGCACGCGCAATTAGACAGGATGGCTGAAGTTATAACCGGACTGGAACGACTGTTGCTGAAAGCAGAAGACCGGAGCTGGAACTTACTCATTTGTGCCATCGGAGCGGAACTGGAGGCATTCAAGCAGGCGGAACAGTTGCTCCGTGATGCACTAAGAGCTGCTGGGTTCGGTGGCGAGGACTACGACGCGAACGATGATGAAGGGCTTACTCCTCAGCTTGGGAGGTCCATGAGCGCCAAGGGGTCCCCTATCAAGCAGGATGGACCGCCTCGGAAGGACGACTTGGTGGATTTACATGACGAGCATGATGACACAGCGACCACGGAGAGTGACAACGAGGTACCACCGGACCTGCTGGTCGCTCACGAGGAAGAACAGGATGCCTCACCAGTGCTCAACCGCAGTTCCGTCAGCCGGCGTGACGAGCAGGAAGACACTGAGAACGAAGTGCCGCGCGAGTTTCTTGCCGAGCATGCCGGGAATGGAGAAGCTGAGTAGGCTGGATCAAGCCAGCGGAACATGCAGCGGGGTTGATCGTGTAATTGAAAGTCAGCATTATAGTATACAAGCATAGCGAATTGGATTTCTACCTGTTTATCACGCTACCGGCGTCCGGATGACTAGAAGAACGGCTCGCCTTCGGTGGCATCGATACCCTCTCGAACAACCCGTTCCACTGCCTCAGCCTGGTCCTCCTCTCCATCAAGCAGATCGAGCCAACTCGTCTTGACACCTTCAGTCTGGAGAAGTAACGCAGCAACCTGAGCAACCGACTCCCGACTCGCGTTCCCCATGGAGCTCTTGGTCTTGCCAAGCTCCACCTTCCCTGCCGGCTCTGTGGTCAATGTGCCAGGTCGCAAGTTGATAGCGGCGAAGTCAGACCCGCGCTTCTTGGCCGCCTTGTGTAAAGCCTCGTCGGCGGCAATCTTGGCCTGGTAGTAGGTTGGAAGTGCATTTTTGTTCGTGTCTAACGCCAGTTGCCAGGATTCGTCAGACCACCACGATGGCTTTGCCCGTCGCGATATCAGATACGATACCATCAGGAACTTGGTGATTGATGGCGTGGCCACGGCGGCGTTGATGAAGTGAATCGCAGCATCACGGTCGACTGCGAACGTCTAGTGGGCGTCAGTACATTCCCTTGGTACTGTCGAAGGGTCTAACTGGGGGCAGTCAAGTGCTTCAAATGATTCAAGCTACACACCCGTTCGGGGCCGCCTTTGCCACCGGCACCAGCGCTCCAGACGACGTAATCGGGGTTCACCTCGTCAATGAGTGACTTGGCTTGGCTGTCGCTCTTGACGTCCTCAAGACTGCGGACCAGGACATTCAGCTTCCCCGGCTTGTTCTCGCCGAGCTTCTTGAGATCATGTACGTGGTCACGGTTGCGAATGATGCTGGTCACTGTCCAGGAGCGTTGGAGCAACAGAGGTGTCAGATACTGTGCCACCTTTCCATGACCTCCCAATAGCAAAACGTGGTGGCTTGTCATTATCGATGGTGTAGAAACGACTTCGGAAACGGTGTCGTTCTACTTGGGTCAAGTGAAATGTTCAGCAAAAAGGCCTCAGGGCTACCTTGGCGATATGATCGAGGAATTCAGTATGAGTAAGGTAGGCAAGAGTTAAAGGTTCTGAATGCGTTTGTATGTACACGGCTTGCAAGATCACTGATCCTGTCACAGGCATTTAAATGTGCCGTTCGGAATGAGCAATGTGACGTAGGGGTGGTGCCATCGGTTTGCTTGGAAATCGTACGTAGATCCACGGGAGCTAACTAAACTCTACCCCACATATCCCCTATCATACGTTCAAGACATGGAACTTGTACGCACTCCAGGAAGCCGGTACTCTGCCTCTTGTCCCCGTCGGTGATACAACATCGATGTCGGAGCATGTTTAATCCACAGCCGGGTGACAAACATTAGGACACCGCGGTGAAGACCGGAGGACGTCTTGTGCTACAGGAAGGGGAGTCTGTAGCTAAAATAGATTCGAGCTGCTACAACCATCTCAGAGCACAAGTGAATGCAAAAGAAAACAGCAAATGGCCAGTCCTTAACGCCGTCCCCGAGTACC